GCGGCCTCCCGGACGGCCCGCCGCCGCCTATCCGACCGCGCCGCCGCCGCCTACCTGACCGCGCCACCGCCGGTTAGAAATTTTTTTTCTTTTGTTTTGTCCTCTAAAAACGATGTGCGTCTTATGGTCAGGTGCGTCTTATGGTGCGAAAAATACGGTATTCACTCATCTGAATTAAGCTTCCTGTTTTTGTAACTTCTAACAAGGTGTGACTTGTAAAAATGTGTTTTGTTGATTTCATCATGTAAAGGGCAGAAGAAATATAAGCCAAATATATCAACTGTCAAAGTAAATAGTGCTTAAGTATCTTGTAATAGACAACTAGACAGAAGGAAAAAAAATTGATTATCATTACAGTGAAATCTCAATGTGATGGCAGTTGAGATTTAGAGGTGGGGCAGGTTTTGCATCACAATAGCTGAAAACCTACAAGAAATAACAAATTTGTTATTTGTTTAAATAAAGCATATAACGTTCCTATTTCACATAACAGAATTTGTCATAAATAAGAAGGTAGGGTTACAGCTGCCATCACCTTAATTGTTTGTTTTTGGAAGAAAAGGGAGATCTGATTACTCATGGTATAGAATAAGATAGAATATGAAGAAAGCATACAATGTTTTAAGTTGCAGAGAACTTACATGTTGCTATGCTAATATTTCATAAAACCAGAAAACTTAAATCTCAAGAAAAAGTGAGACTTCAACCAAATGTGGATTTAGCAGGACTAATATGATGAATATTGTTGTCATTATTTACCTGTATTTTGAAAACAAAATGTAAAGCTAAAGGGTTTTAGAATCTTAGAATCTGTAGGTATGATTTTTAGATAAATTGCAAAGAATAAAACACAATTGTACCCTTGCACTCTTCATGTTCATGTTCATATTCTGATATTTATCATCCACCTCCCAAGCCCATCTTTTTTATGAATGTGCATGTTATTTAGAATATTTGTTAAATGCTGAGCTGACTTTATAGTCAACTTGTGTTTTGTATATTATTCAATTTATGTAGTTACCTTCTGAACAATGTGTTGTTAGTGGAACTGAAATTCCAACAAGTTAGCCAGATTGCTTTTCCACTGCTATTTTCCCCCTAAAATTAAAAACATCAGTTTCCTGTCTATCCAGTGCAAATATTAAACTGATCTTTTAGAGAGCTGTTCAGGGTTGTGAACAAAAGCACCCTCTTACTTTTTACCAGCAGCTAGTTTAATACTGTAATAAATAATGGGAAATAGGCCTATTTATAGTTTGTAATTTGGAAAATTAGTGTTTCCACATTTGTTTAATGATAGGAAGTTGCCTACTAAGATACTAAGATGGAAAAATTCCTAACAAATGGTAGGATATTCTGGAATTGAGTCACATTTAATCAGAAAGGCAGTTGTATGCATCTGATTCATTAAGTAGTAGATGGTTATCATGGAATTGATGCATATTTTATAAGAATAAGTTTGACATGTGTTGAATATATTTGAAAATGTATTGCAACCATAATTTTGGCTAGTAACACTCTTCAATAGAAGATGTGCAGAATTTAGAAAATGCCATTGTTTTTAAATAGTTAAAATATCAAAACTAGGTCTTTGAGTCTGTTCAGAGATAGTTTGTTGAGCGTCAGTTCATTTCCAAAATAAATGTTTTGGGTACTGGTATCATTGGCTGATATGCTAACCATCAGTTGATGTATGACTTTTATTTTTTGGTATGTATGAATTATTTCTCTGTGTACATAAATTATTGATTTTATTTAATGTGTAAAACAAATAATTAGAAACAAAAATAAAAAACACCATTAGAATGGCCAGAAGAGAGATTGTTTGCGGAAGAAGTCAGCATTAAAACTGTTTACCAAATTCTTATTCCATTGTGTTTCAGAACCATGGTGCTATGGAGAGGAATTTATTTTGTACTTGCATTATTTTTGGGAAGTTTTTTTGGAAGCATCTTCATGCTTGGTCCCCTACTGCCACTGATGTCTATTTCCCCAGCTTGGTATCGCTGGCTTACTGATCGTGTTGTGGCCACTTGGTTTACACTTCCAGTGGTAAGTTGCTGATATCTATACTTTATAAACTCCTCCCCACCCCACTCCCATGTTCCAAAATAATATATTACTTGTGTCATGCCAGATAATATGCTTTAAAGCTCAGTGTAAAATGTTTAGACAAAGCTGGCATAATAGCTTTGGATTGGTGAGTTAATGGAGACTATGCTACATATATTGGTTAAACATTGGTTGCAGAATTATTTTTTCATCACCATCATAACTGTGAATGATCACTGTGTGAGGCAGAGTCAGTCCAGAAGGAACAAAAGTCTCTGAAAGATCAAGGAGATGTAGGAATGTATTGTCCCCATCCTATTTCCACTAGAAGTTATCAACAAACACAAACAATGCTATTTAGTCCCACACTCAGAATTCAAACTAGACTGAAAGTGGTGTAGATGATTTTCCTTTTTTCAGGGTTCTCTGAAGCTACAGCATGGCCACTTTCTAAGCAAGTTTCCTTAAAAAGGGAAATTGGGGCTGAAAATTGTCCAACATAATCCAGCAGTAACTTCTTGAGCTTTCTTTTAAGTGTTGGTGGGGCCACCCTCTCTTTCAAGGATAACTCCCCCCCTCCAAAGGCTCAATAACATATTGTTTCCAAGCAAGCCATGGCTAATCAGCAAGGTCATCGCTCTAAAACACAGGAAGCCAAGTTAATAGTTTCAAGAAACTTGTCTACTTCATTAGGACTATCAGGATCAAATTTAGCCCAGATAACCAGGTTATGGAAATTTGATTAGCTGTTGAGGAACTTAGTGTCAAAGGACGTAATAATACTAACTCTTAAGCTATGTGAAGCTTTGATTCAGTTATTCCTTTAAACTGAGTGTTGGTTCAATGCATCAGATTGGTTTCTTTGAATTATTCAATACTTCAGTGAACTTTTGTGCATATATATTCTCACTTTTTATCTAATTGACTATTTGAATTGGCAATTTGTCTACTCCTAAGAAACAGAATATGAAATTTGCAAAATAGGGAAACATTGCCCGTTTCTATTCTGAACGGGTTTGCTGTTTTTAGCAAAGTATGTAATATTGCAGCCAGTACAAATGAAGAGGAGGGTTAGCTCACTCCTTTAATTGAAAATACCTAGAGCTTCCAGGTTCCAAAGTTATATGTAAAACCTCTTTCCTCAAAAAGTATCTGCAGCAAATGCGATTGTGGAGGAGGGGTAAGAAGGAAAAATGGCTCTTCTGGCTTTCATTATTTTCTAAAAACACTGCCAATAAATGATTTCAGAAATCTGTTGCTTTATCGAGTGCCAAGTAAGATGAGCAAACTAAAATCTCAGGGGTTTATGCTGAAAACTTTTCCATGGTAAGTCTGAGGAGGAGCCTACATAGACCATTCCCCCACAAGTTGAGGCTCTTGATGGGTAGAACTAAAAAGTGAAGATATCCAACAAAACTGGGAGGTGGTGTGGGTGTAGGTAAGGCTCTCAAAATGTTACTAAATCACGTCTTCCAGTAGGAGTTGTAATTTAAATATAACAAAGAGAGCTGTTAGTCTTTCCCTCCTGCTTTTACATGTTTGGTAAGAAATATATTCCATTGGATTAAATTGTACTTTCTCCTCAAGGAGTTTACTTAGCTTCAGTGACTTAGCCATTTGCTGCAAAGAAATATTTGAAAGTTAACTGGAAGAAAGGAAGCACACCTACATTGGACAGTAAAAGAAAGTGGCTACTTCCTTTAAGTAATTGATATCCAGAATTTACTAAGATGAGGATCAAAAAAGATCAACCATTAGAAAAAAATGTATTATTCTATTTTGGAATGAAACATACAATTATATTTGATTTGTTATACATTGTTCATAAAATCCTGAACTACATTCATTTTATTTGTGTTTTCTTCTTTTATATAATGTGCATTATTTTGAGAAATTTGATAAAAGATAGGATCTCTGCTAACATTACTTCAATGAGCCTCAGTGACTTACTGTCCATTAGCCTCATTAAATAGATTAGACAAAGAATCAACTCCACAGAAAGGCTGATGAAACTACTTTTATTGAGAGGGGCTATAATAATATAATAACAGAAGTCTAATTGTGCTATCCCATCTCCCATTCTTATAATCATTGAATTTGGGAGATGTTAACATTACACATTTTTTTGTATTATAGACTTAAAATATGTTTTTATCTCTCATTGTTTTGGTAAAAGATTTTGCCTTTGCAAGGGCTACCTAGCTTATTCTGTACATTGTCAGGTTCCTCTCTTCAGGATACTTTGCCTTTTGTCTGCTCGAGCAATAACTACTTAGTGTTAGTTCTGATATGTTAGTATTAATAGTAATGAAGCTTTTTAAAATTTTACTCAGTAGGTTTTAGTTTTACCCACACCCAAATCTTGTTTCTTCATTTTAAATGTTATCTTGACTGATCTAGATAATTGATTGATCTGTCTTCCACTTTTTAAATTATAATATTATTGCTATTTTATGTAAAAAAAAAAAAAAGCTTTGTGAAGTCACCATGCAGATTTGTCAGTAGAAAGGTCTTAAGTATTCATATTAAGCATGGTTATACAAGCTTTTTGAGCCATTTGGAAGAAATCCTGAGACCTTGAGTGCTAGTCCTGTCTTGGGCACAAAGTCAACTGGATGACCTTAGGTCAGTCTCTTTACCCTTCAGCCTTAGGAAGGAGGCAATAGCAAAGCACTTGTCAAAAACTTTGCCAAGAAAATTACAGGGATTTGTCTGGGCAGATATGATTGAATGGAATTTTTTTAAAAATGCAAGCATTAATCTAATAGTAAAACTTTTAATGTGTAACTTGAGATAGATCAATGTTTGTAAAGCCTGATTTTATATAAACACAGACTCTTTTTTTCCCTAAGTGTAGGATTTATTTGTCTCCCTAAGTAATAATAGCATTTAGAAGACTCAACAATATGCCACTTTCTGTCATCTCAAAATGGATTCTAAATGTCTAATACTTCTAATGTACATTAGATACTTCTGAATTCCATTATATTTGTTTGTCTTGCTCTTGCCTAAAAGCCTGCAAAGTATTTTAGTATATGTCCCACCCTACAATGTCACTAGAGTTCTCATCCTGTGCATTCCTTAATCCAAGACTGAGGAAGTCTGATGTAGGAAAACCACAGAACTACAAAGTAATACTGTAGCCCCTGGAAGTCACAGCCAACCCAGCAGTGTGGCACAAAGCCCTGGGGACCTCAGCCACTCCAGCCATCTTGCACTCACAGTCTCTTGCCACCCTGCGATTGTCACTGCAACTGACCTTCAGTCTTCTTGCTCCCATTGCTGACGAGGTGTGCCTACCCTAGCACTTCATGATGCAGCTGCTGGCCACACAAGGCCATCTTCTTCAAGTCTTGCAAGGAAATCACCGTGTGTGACCTTGGGAAGAAAACCTCGGAGAGCCAGCAGTTGCCTTGTGAAAGACCATTCTGGTCAGATACGGTGTTGGGAGCTGCAGAGTACAGGAAGCCAAAATGGCACAGATGGAGGGCTGAGATATGTGTGAAGGGGGAGTTGTATTGCTCTTGTGGCTGCAAGTTCAGAGTACGCTGTCAAACAAATTTTGATCACATGACAATAGGGGCACTCCAATGACTGCAACTTTGTAGACCAGTTGCAAGTTCTTTTGTTCGGATCACTGTAATTTCGAATAGTCACTGAATAAATAGTTGTAAGTTGAGAATTACTTGTATAAAAATATGGTGGCAAACTGCCACATCATAGAACTATAATTTCCCAATTCTTTTCAAAAGGACAGCAAGAGGAAAAATTTTTTAATCTTTCAATACTTCCCAAAGCCTCTTACTGAAGTCTGCAGAGTGGTGTCTCCCAGAGCAGTCCTTGGTCTTTGGCTGCCCAGATGATGCCTACTAAGTACCATGCTTTATGAATGTGCAGGGTTCTGCCACAAGCACCAGCTTAGTACGGTGCAAAGAGATTCATGTGAAAAAGATGTTCATGATTTTATAACTAAATATGTCTATTTTGAAACAGTATGTCTGTTTTCTGTTTGGTTTTTTTTAACAACATAACTAAAGCTTCTTTCAGACCATGTGGTGATTCAGTAAGACACTGTTTCAGTGTTTAGCAAGTAAGGATTGCCCCACAGTTCTCCCAACGTTTTCTTTCATCCTCTGTGGTTGAACAATATGCCAACCCTCAAATTAAGCTAAGTTTCCACTGGAGTTTGAAGAAATACTGACAATTATTGATTTACTCCTTTAGACTATAACTCCTGTATGTATCAACCACCCTCTAAATAGAGGTTAAAAAATTAACTTCTCCCACATTTCAATCTACAAGTATCTTGTGTACTTATTGTTCCTTTCTTTTATAGCCTAGAGCACGATTAGGCAACCTTTTTTGGCTACTGGAGACCTTTAGAATTTTAAAAACATCTGTGGGTACTCTAACAAATTGGTTGCCTTGGGAACAAAACCAGTTATAGAACACATATACCAAAGGCAAATTGGTCTCTGTGATTCTCTGTATCCCAGTTTAACTTTCTTTTTTGCTGGGTTCATTGATATTTGCTTAGTCTTCTGGAGGCTTCTAAGAGGCCTATATTATAAAACTCAACCTTGAAATGGTTTACAAAAACTATAAAACATCCAAAAATTAAAGTAAAATACAACAACAACAAAAAATAACAAAATAAAATGAATTCATTATATAAACTTTCTTTTAAATTTATATGAAACTAGAGGAAGCATGTCAGGAACCCATTTGAATATTTTTTAATAAATAAATAAAAAATCAGATGGAGCCCTGTAAATAGTGGGGAAGCATCTGTAGATATTGTATTCCCTGTTACATAAAATTCAAGATCAGAATTGGGTAATACTTTTTTATTTTGTTAGATTTTATCCCATCCTTTTTTTTATGAACAACTCAAGGTGACGAGCATACCTAATACTCCTTCCTCTTATTTTCTCTATAACAGTCCTGAGGTGAATTAGGCTGATAGTGACTGTCCAGTCACTCAGCTGGTTTTTCATGCCTAAAACAGAACTCGAATTCACAATCCTCTGAATTAGAGTAACACTTTATTCAAGTCACTTGTCTCCCCTGATATAGAATTTGTACATAAAACATTTGAAGTAAAAGTACTGACCAAAGAACTTGCTGATGTATTAGACTCGCCTTGCATAGCCATGTAGTTGCTATTATATTCATTTATGCAGTTACACTGTTGTGAAATGTTTCTCAAATTCTTCAGGTAAATTATAATTTTTCAAAGAAAAAAAAGCTATATTGTATGTGTGGAGGTAAGCATAGACTAGTCTAAAATTTTAGTGCAATGTAATGATTTTTTATTTGATCAGTGTTAATATTTGCTCTGAGATATTTAGCCTATTTGCAGGGTTGTCATATAATATTTTTGGTTTTTACCTAGGCCCTGCTGGAGATAGTGTTTGGGTCAAAAGTAGTCATAACAGGTGATGGATTCATCCCCGGAGAAAGAAGTGTCATAATCATGAATCATCGAACACGAATGGATTGGATGTTTTTATGGAGTTGCTTGCTGAGATATAGCTACCTCCGACTTGAAAAAATCTGCCTCAAATCTAGTCTCAAAGGCATTCCGGGATTTGGTAGGTTATTGATTGATTTTTTAAATAATATTCTAAAATATATTATTTTAGATCTTCTATTTTGTTAACATAGAATTAATTTTGGGATATATTTTCATGATAGATTGTTAACTGCCCTGAAGGCTTTCTGGAGCCACTTTGGGAGAAAAGTGCCAGAATAATAAAAGTGTTTAATATTATATCCTTCTTTCCATTTTACCAAAGCAAATATAGATCTTGCTTCAAATACGTGTTTTAAAAAATTCTCTCTTCATATATCATACAAATTGATTTGCATTTAATTTTAGTCTTTAGCCTTTTGTATAACAGCCATACTGGATTAGATCATTCAAGTCTTCTATCCTATCCTGCTTTCCAGAGTGTCCAACCAGATAACCTTTGACAAACCCATAGTGAGGAGATTGGGTTATTGGCTAGGTTTATTTTGGGTCTTCTCTATTTTTATATTTTAACTATATCATTTGATCTTTGATGTAAATTCATTGGAAATAAATTACTCAGAGCATGTACAATATTATAAGGACATAACCTTGATTGAGAGCTCTGCTTGACTCGTGGCCATTTGAGCCCATACCCATGTGAGGAGCTCACAAACAGGGCATAGGACAGCCACTTTCTCACCACTTGACATTCACTAACTTGTCAAAATAAGGAAAAAGAGAACCTTTGTCTTTACCCATGAGAGTTGTTACAATCTTTGCCGCTGAAGTAAGCATTCATAATAAATCAGTGATGCATAGAAATGAACTGTGTGCTAGTTTAACAACTCCACAAAGATTTGGAGCCTATATTTCTTCAACCATAGTTTCTTTCTTTTCTTTTCTTTTCTTTCTTTCTTTCTTTCTTTCTTTCTTTATTTCCACAGCAACACAAAACTGGCACAATGTGTATGATGTTGAAGTGAGTGGCTATTTAGAACTGTCTGTATTCTTGCTTTTGCTTTTAGTTGTATCTCAATGGAATTGGCCAGTTTTAGCATACTTGGCTTGTACAGGATCGTGCTCTATTTTCTACAGATACAGTATAAATAAATATCTAATAGAAAACCAGCAAGTAATATTATATAAGTAATCTGAAAAAAACTTGAATTAATGTATATATTGAGAAAACAATTTAAAAGAGTGAAGCTTTCAAATGCAAGACTGTCACAGTCCTACAAGGTCTACTATTCTTTAAGAGCCTTTCACTATACTATTTTTTAGGATTAATAAAGTCCTTATATTTTTCCTTTGCATATAGAACTTCATAGTATGAAGTTACCATGGCACAGATATTGGATTGTTTATTTTATTTATTAAATACATTTCTAGCCCACCACAATTCAACAAAGATTCTTGGTGGCTTACATAGAGTAAATAATACACTTAAAATATTCAGGCAGTAACAATAAACAACATGAGCAAAATCACAATAATATCACAAAAATAGGAAATGCAAAAATAAAGTTGGAGACATCAAGTCAGAGGAAAGATCTTCCAAACAGCTCTTCCAAACTACTTAGTAGCTGAGTTGTGAAGAGTCATTGTGAGAAGACAGCCAAAGTTGCAAGGCCATCTGTATCCATCTCATGTACATCATGCCTAGCTTGTCCAACACACATATTCTTATCTTTTTAGAAGTTAATAAGTAGAGCTGCTTATTTTTAATAGGATTACATTTTCTTGGGGTTGTTGGGTGGATTTTCAGAAAACTAGCTGCTGTTTGTTGAAGGAAAGATAGCACAATGACTGTGGTGCCCAAAGAAAAGAAGCCAAAGCATTCCTGGTTGACTAAAGATGTGACAGTAGTGTGTCCAATGACAATGTAATGGGTTATGGTAGCTTTATTGTGAAAACTGGTGATGGTGACATGGGAGCAAATCAGGCTGCCCCTTTCTAAAAATCCATAGCAGTAGCAGAGATAGCACCTCCAACAGGGTCACCAGCAGACTCAAAGTGCTGCCAAAGGGAAGAGGCAAGAATGTGCCCAGCAACAGAACATGTACCTGAGAGCTAAAGAATTCACCTGTTGAGGGACTAGATAAATAATTAAGGCTAATTAAGGGAGGAAAAGGGTAAAAGGTGAATTGAACATAGAAAGAAATATAAGAAACGAAACACAGGAAAAAAGATAAAGCAATTTGAAATGTGAGAGTAGTTTTGAAATACGTGTTTATTAGGATAGAATAGATATGAAAATGGATTGTGCAATAAAATCCTTGTAAACAGGAGTCCTGTTCAAAGACTGAAGCAACACAGTTTATTTTGCAACAGTCCATTTATAATTCAAGTGATTTCCCAACTAGGAATTGCCTTGCATTTTGCTTGCATCTGTCACTATGCTTGTACTTACCATCATATCCATAGTTGCTTAGAGGGAGGTCTATTGCTATACAGTGCAAGCCAATATCTGAATAGGGTCAAAGGTTTGTGTGTGTGTGTGAGTGTCTGTCCCATATCCCTTTAAACCTTGTATTAATAGCTTGTGGTTTGCTTTGTGGATTGTAGGTGATGACCCTTCTAAGTGAGAGTCTGATCAACAGTGTCATATGATGTCTTCCAGCAATTCTATCAGGAGCTGTCATACTTACTTAGTTACTTAGAGTTATTTATACTGTGAATTAGCTTTGAGTCCACATGCTGGAAAATGTTCTTTATAATATATTTTTTACTGAATTGTTTATACCAGAAATATGGACACCAAAATCTTTCTTTGCAATATGAATTTTAACACTGAACTAGATAATGTGTTCAATGGAACAAAATCATTTAAATCACAACTTTGTTTTAAGGATTTAAATAAAGTTACTTCTGGCTACCCTCTTGGTTGTTGCAATCGAGCATTGAAGCTTGGCCTAGAACTGATTGCACTTCCACTTCCCCCGAAATAATGTGTGTGTGTATGTGTGTGTGTGCAATTTTTGTTTTTCAGAAATATTCATGAAACAAGCTTGCTTTGCCTCATCAATACTATGATGCTACAAAAACTGATCTATAGACCAGTCTCTATGCTTTATAAAAGGGATACCCAACCCTTGGTCTGCAGCCCAGTGCCAGGCCCATTGGGAACTGGGTCAGGCAAGCAGCGGGCAATCGTGTGAAGCTGTGCACATGCACACATGAAACTATCCCCTCTCCTCCCCCGCCAACGTCAGTTCCACAGAGCTGGAAAGGTTGGGGACTGCTGCTTTATAACACACAATAAGACGTTACCTATAGTTTATAGTATGCATATAATTATGTTGAATTATTTGACTGTAGGCAAATATCAATTATCTGTCTGTTTTACAATAAAAAAAACAATTGAAATTTGATAAACCACAAGATCATCTTCTCCTGATCTTTGGATGCCTGGCTGTGTTGGGGTTGTGAGAATTCCCCAGAATTTTAGAAGTTGTAGTACCAATACATCTTGAGGGTACCAGATTGGGAAAAAACTTCACTCAGTTATTAGTAACAAGAAAAAGCTTCTAATGGTTCATGGTAAATAATGCAGAAGTCTAATAGAAAATAGAATTCGGAAGGGGGTAAAATGGTTCTATATTTTTTTTTGCCATTTTAAAAACAATAATTAAAATTATATATGGTGTGATAGTTCTGTACTTAGTATCTAATTTTCTAATGTGCTTAGACTCATGCATATTTCATAATATTGAAGTATTTAATGTTTAAACTCAGTTCAGAAGGAAAATAGAAGTAATGGCATGCATTTTCTGCAAACTTTGACAGTTTGGTTAGACATCTGTTTCCTCTTAAAAATCATCCCCGAGGAACAAAATGTAGAATTTATTCCAGTAGAAATATAAGTTTCTAATTATCCCTTAACATCAGCAGAATGGGAAAGGGACGTCATTTTTTCTTGCACCCTCTTTAAAATCTCTTTAAAAATAGATTTTGAAATATTTTCTTAAAATAATTTATAGGAAGAAATTTTTATACTTTGAGATCAAGCCATTGTTGCTGCAACATTTCATTGTATGAAGGCAGATTTGATTTTAAAAAGAAACAGTTAACATGAGTCTTGCTTTTCCACAAGTTTTAGCAAAATATCTTAAAATCTTTAGGCTTTTAACATAATCATAGACACTGTGATATATTTATTACTAAGAAATATATTGAGTTCTTATATTAAAGCATCTTTATATACTTTGGGAATCAGGGACCATCCAAATAAATAATCAATTCAGTGTTTAAGAAATTCTTCACATTTGTTTTAGGCTGGGCCATGCAGGTTGCTGCCTTCATTTTCATTCAGAGGAAATGGGAAGAAGACAAACATCATTTTGGAAATATGCTGGATTATTTTTGTGATATTCATGAGCCACTACAACTTCTTATCTTTCCTGAAGGAACTGATCTCACAGGTACCTCAATGTTACTTAATTTAATGCTGCACAATGCATTTAAGACATTTGCTGGAAATACTATAAGTAGGTTGAATTACAGTATATCATATCAGAAAAGGATTTTACCATTAAATCCAGAACATTAAATAGTTATTTGTAAACACTTCTTAAGGCATGGGTGTCCAACCTGTTGGCTTGCGTGGGTTGCACCAAGTGAAGAGGAATTGTCTTGGGCCGCATATAAAATATATAACATAATTAATGTAACGTTGATATTTCTAAAAATAAGATCATAGAATTGATGTGCATTTTGAAAGAGTTTTGGACAGAATTTTAAAAATGCACATCCAGAATTTATTTTATTTTTTTTTAACAATAGAATTCAGCACAGAAGAGTGGCGTGGTGGCTGAGTGGTGAAGATGCTCGCCTCCCACTCAGAAGGCTGAGAGTTCAATCCTAGGTAGTGGCAGTTCTTTCTTGGGGCGCAAAGAGAACATACCTGCTACAAACTCCAAGTAGGCATCAGGAAGGGAATCTGGCCAGTAAACACTCAACTCCCTTTAGCCGCCCTGACTGTACCCCGAATTAAGGGATTACAGGGTCATTAAAAGAAAATTCAGCACAGAAGTGAATAAAGGTTGAAAAGACAATGTGTCAGTGTCAGGCTTTCAAAAAATACTGAAATTTTAATTGAATGCAAATTAACATGGCAGTCTTGGATTTTTTAAAAAAAAATTCAATAATTTTGTTTGTACTTTCTATTCAACTACAGCAGTATTTCTTTATATATCAAGTCAGGCCATTGATGTCCAGAATTAATCAAGATCTTCAGTATTGCCAAAATGTTATTGGCCAGGTTACTAGTTAGTTGAAGATCATTCTTAAGTTAAATCATTCTTAGAATGTGTTGCCCAGCAAAGCAACGCTATATAATATTAAGGAGTGGTTCTTTCACATCTCTGTGCTTAGAAATGACTAGAATAAATAAGTAAAGTTAAATGTTTACTTTTTTTGTGTTAAATAAATTGTGAAAAAATATTTTTGTAAATCTGATAATAGAATTAGTACAATATTTATGATATAGCATATCTAGGATCTTTTAGCATGATTTTATATATACTAAGTTGTTTTATTTATAATTTTTGTGTATTATAGATTTAATTTAATATGTTTAAAGTGAAAAAATATGTAATGTAACATTTTATCTTCAACTTTTATTTTTTTGTGTTATTTTATTAGTTTTTAAGGCATTAGTTGTTTTTCAGACTTTTATGAATGGTGATAATATTCCATTTAAGTATAGGAGAAGAAAAATGAAACTTGTTTTGAAGAGTTCTATTGTTTGATTTGGTTTGGTTTTTAATGTTAATATATTATATAGAGAAGATTGTACTTCCTCACAAGTCCTGACATGTATCATTGCTCTTTGTTACTGCTGTTTCTCATTATACTCTCTGGATGCATAATGTCCTAAACATTTCCTGTTCATGAAAAAGCATACTAACAAATTTTAGTTTTTGAACTTAACTTAGTGCTTTCATTCCTCCTGTTGCATTCGGAAGAGACAACCTGGGTTTTGCGTTAACACCCCCCCCCCCATGCTTCTTGGCTAAGTTTGCAGGGTTTTCTTATGTACTGCTTATCAGTATGGACTCCTAGATTCCTGCTTGCTATGCTTTGTTATCTATTTATTCTTAATTAAATGCAGAAATAATGTCTAATAAATATAACATTGGGGTCCTGGATCTGTAATCCTATAAAACTTACTAGATAGATTCTAGGTGTTGTTGCTGATTCAAACTTTGGGACTAGGTCCTGCAAATTTTGAAACCCTGTAGATTAGCCTTAGCCCAAGGCAATTGTGTTCTGCATTCTAAGAATTGGACTTTGAAAGTAAAGCTTGTCTATGTTTATGTAAGAAAGTGAAAAGTATTTTGTGATGATTTTTATTGAAATAAACACGTTCTATTATACCTCTTTGATCCTTTATTCTAGTGATGTTCTTTGTAATACTGAAATTTAAGGCATTTTAATAATTGTTTTTCCTACTACTTTTCTCTGTAGATGAAACTAAAGCCCGCAGTGATACATTTGCTGAAAAAAATGGACTTCAGAAGTATGAATATGTCTTGCACCCAAGAACTACAGGCTTCACTTTTATAGTGGATCGTTTAAGAGATGGTAATGCATGTTCAGATGTATTTTCCTCTTTTCTTTACAAAATAATATATTTTAGATGAGAAATGTTGTTGGTGGCTAATTACTTCGAACCATTGCCCTAAAATGTCTTTTTAAAAGCTTTGTGTGTTTCAATAGATTTCCTTCCTTATTTACTCAGGGAATTTTTTTCCATGCTTAAAATAGGAAGTAATTTGATCACTTCCAATTAAGTTGCCAGCATTGTGTCATATTGCTTCCATTTTCTATGTGAATTTTGCATTCTGAAGTAAGGAAAGACCTACATTAAGTTTGGTATTGAGGCAAAATATATTTTTATAGGTTTTGCTGCATTTTTCTGCCCTGTCTGGCAACAATGAGATTATTATAAACAGTATTATCAGAATTATCCACAATATAATGTAAGCATTCAAAGTCATTTATAGCCTCCTTGGTGAGGTAAGCCATAAAAGCAATTTACAATAACTGGCCAACTTATATTTTCTAGATTATGGGTTGGCAACTATGGGCTAGATCAGGCATGTCAAACTGCCGTCCTGCGGGCCAGATGTGTCACGCCAAAACCGCGCCCACCCCATTGCTGGCAATGGGGAAAAAGTCACGATATATCACTCGAATTGATACAATTTCCCATGTGGTAAATGGTTTTCATGTTCTGTCAGATTAAATATTGGGAGTCATGCTGAAGCTATTTAAAATGTGTTCAGTCTCTTCCAACTCTTTGCGATCCAGTGGACATCATTTCGCCATCATGTGTCAGTGACTGTTATTTGAGTTCTTAAAAGTTCATGCTTGCATGAGCTTTCAATAACGTACATAGATTTGTGCAAGTTTATAAAAAAAAGTACAATGTAGGCATTATGTATTCTGTTAGCCTCTTTTCCAATGATCTTCGGTGTTTCTAAATGTTCTAAAACACTTCTCTAGTATCCATGTCTTCTTATTATAAGTTCAAAATATTTTACTATTTTGCTTCATTATAAGTGCTTAAAATGAGGAGTCTTCATCTAGGATTGAATTATTTATTTTTCTTGCAGGCTATTAGATTTTTTTAATCAATGTACTCCAGCATCACAGTTTAAAGATATCAGTTTGTTTTCATTCAGTTTTCATAGCCATGTCTAGTTCTATCATAATTTTTCTCTCAGTTAAGAGATGGTTTTTTATTTCATTATTATAGTGGCTCTCCTTGCAAATTTAAGCCTAGAAAATCAATGTCTTTCCTACTGCAGGTTCTTCTCTGTCTGCTATTTACATTGGGATTGCATGTTGACATAATCTTAGGGTCTGGGGTTTTTTTAAACATACTGAATAGCAGGCTGGCTTTTTAATCTCTTTCACCTTCAGCAAAAAAATCCTTAAGTCTTTACTTCTAGCCATCTAGCCATCTAAGTATTACCAGAATATCTGAGATTGACGCTTCATCAAGTAAATTTAATTCCAGCTGTTATTTCTTCTAGTCCATCATTTTCCATGCTGCATTCTGCCTGTAAATTAAGTAAAGTGAGTGACACAGTACATGGAACCTTAATATACATGTTTACCTCTTTTGACTTGTTTAAATGATATGTATACAATTCCAATCATTCTTTCCTGGTCATCACACAAATTCTTCAATAGGCAGATAGGTGGGAATGTAATAAAACAATAGAAAACAAAACAAAAATAGAGCCAAAATACCTCCAGCCACCCTAACCCAAGGCAAACACCTTACTGTGTTTAGAGTCAAAAGTATCAGTATAATTAATGCAGCAAAAATGTATGTATTTTGGAAGTTGACTTACTTTTCCATTATTCATCATATGTTAGCAATGAGATCATGAATGCATTTCCTCTTCTGAATCAGAGCCATTGTAGGAAGGTAGTTGATTCATATTTTCTTTCCCCAAAGTGTCTTGGGTACATTTTTATTACATGAAGTTTATTAAGGTACCTGCTGCATGCAAGACAGTACAACTAATCAAGTGTTTTGTTTACATATATTAATATCCTCTCTTTTCTGAAATGTTTGAAATAGTTAAAATTCTGGTTAATATCATTACATGGCATAAAGTTCCATTTGTGTCAGTGGAATAATGTCGGTTTATTTATTAAAGAATATGTCTGCACTGGATCTTCTCTATCAAAGCTACGTAAAAGAATGAATATGTGGTTTACTATAGCTCTGGGAAATGGAAAAGTTTCAGTGGAGACAGATTTCCATGTATTAGCTTCTGCTATTTCAAAAAGGGAAATGAATGGAAAATCAGTAAAGCAGATGTTGGAATGGTACTGACTGAATGGGAAATTTTAATTTTTAGGTTATTATCATGAAACTTTTAGTATCATGGCAGATCTCTTTAAAAAGATCCCATGCACAAGAACGATAACCTTAAATGTCTCATGCTTTTCTGTGAATAATGTTTAGCTCATGACAGTTTTCCCATCCTCAGGCTGATATCCATTCTCTTCAGGGATATGTGCATTATGTTACTCCAAAAATAGTCCTGCGGAGAAGAGGGAAAATGTCATGTGCGGAGAAATAACTATCTCTAAATGGACAGATCGTATACAAGGAAATGAAGGTTATAACTTAGTATGCATATGGAGAGTATTCTAGGATGGGGAAGTGACCATTCAGTATTCTAAAAGACCAAATAGGGAAGTGCTTTTTAACATGCAACAAAAAAGTAAAATTGAAAGGTATAAGGAAAAACTACCTTCATTCAGTGAGAAATGGGCTATTTGCAGTATGCCTATTAATGATAATGCTGATATCTCCTTCTGCAGATAGCTCCAATCAGGGCTTTTTTCCTCATAGAACGCCCAGAACGGCGTTCTGGCACCTTTTTTGGATGGAACCTTGTAGGGTAGGCAAGGCGGGTTGTATGATATGTGTGAGTTCCGGCACCTTTTTTTTTTTTTTAGACAAAAAACACTGGCTCCAATAATGATAGTTGAATAAATATTTATTTTTATCTGTTTGCCTCTACTAACTAGATGTGGCATCATTATTTCATAATGTCATGAGAAGTTTAATTCTTTTTTAAAAAAACTTTGCAAAAATGAATTTTATTTGTCAAGAGCTATATTTAATTTGTATTATAGTCTGTGTATGGATGAATTATCTATTGTGCTAGAAATGTCTCTGTTACATGAACCATTAAAATGCTGAGGAAGTATTTGAATATGAGAATCAGTTTGTGGAAGAACATATTTTTTTGTACCATAGGATAACAAAAACCTAATGTTCCCTAAGTTAAAATATATTTTACTTCCTAATGCTTAATCTACAGGTAGTCCTCCATTTACAACTGCAATTGGGACTTGTGTTCCTTACTTTATCACACTGTTTCTTTGTTCAGGCTGAAAATCCTGCTTGTCTCTGGGGACTGGTTGAAAGAACTGCCTGCCAAAGAATTTCAACTCCATTTCATGCTTGGATGTTGGCAGTCCAAGCAGATTCAGCAAATCCAACCCATTTCGGCAATCCAAGCAGGTTTCAGCAAATCCAAACAATTTTGACATTCCAAGCAGGCATGATGCTGAAACACTTTGACTTGATTTTTTTGCAATCAAAGCAGCACGGAGCTAAAATTCTCAGCACACAGCTCTTTTACTTTGGGACCTGCTATAAGAGTTGCCTGCCAAAGATTTCAGCTCATGCTTACTTAGAATTGCCAAAATCCAAGCAGACACAGAGCTGAAATTCTTTGACAGCCAGTCTCCAGAGATGAGAGGGAATGCTCTTGGCAAGTAGCAGAAACTTGTAGCTTTCCCTGCCAGTTTCCCCATTGTCTTTGAGGAACCCAGCAAAGAAGGTTGCAAATGATGATCATAAGGTACTTGGCAACTGGTTATCAGTAACAGTTTGCCAATAACCCGGATCATGACCATGTGACATAGGGTGGTGGTGCTATGTTTTGCAACTATCAGAAGAGAGACCATTATGAATTCTGAGACCATTATGAAGACCATTATGAATTCTGAGACCATTATGAATTCAAACTATTGTTAAGCAAACAGTCACAAGTCGAGGATTACCTGTACTCAGATTCTGTGATGGAATATGCACCTTGAGGAGCAGTGAGGAAGAGTTTTGGCAATACTCTTGCTTTCCAGAGAGAAGCCTGGTTTAAGTGACTACAGTTCCAGGTGTGTGGGGAAGAAGGGAAGAGGTTCAGAGTAGCCACATCCTACAATCTCTAAATACTGTATATATCTAGTGAATTGGAAAATTCTAGTTTTAGTTTGTCAAGAGTGTGTCCATTCAGTAAAAGCAAATAAAGGATTGAACTCAGTTGGATTTCTCTGTATCCTCTCTGGGCTTGGGCCTGACAGTTTCTCCTCACATCCAAAATTTTCAGAATTTATAAATGTTGATTTTTAGCAACCTAAATTCAGCTTACACTGCTGTGTTTTTGCTTCCATGTAGATGTTAATCCAGTTTATATAATTTTTTCAATAGATTCCTGAGGCTGATAGTTCTTAAAGTCACAATTGTTTTTACTTTTATGCTTCTAGAGGTTTATTTTGTTTGTGACATTTATTTTAGTTTATTTTTTTATTTTAACCTAACATATTTGCTATTTGTATTTATATTAGTCATTACTTACCAGATTCTAGAGATTTGTTTTTAGGTGCTGCTGAGATATGTATGTTTGTATACAGTACATACATGCAAAATTGCTTAAAAGTAATTTATTAATCATTTTAGATTGGGCTTCTAAAATGATACACTCTTTTTTATTGTAGTAGGCCCTGCACTCAGTCACTCACACCCTGGATTATCCTGCTTGGATTATTGCAAGTGGGGCTACCCCTTGACTATCATTTGAAAGCTACAATTGGTCCACATTGCAGCAGTGCAGAAAGTTTTGGAGGCCCTAAGGTGGCACATGTAACACAACTATTACATGACCTGGGGTTGGGGACCCCCATTGTAGACTTCTTAGAAGAATGTTGGCTTTGGGACATTTCAGCATTTATGATGGAGGCTGCTCAGGATATCACAGTTGCTATAA